CGGGACCTTATTAAACTGACAAGCTTCTGCAAAGCCAAAGAAACCATCAAGAGAGCAGGGAGACAGCCTACAGACTGGGAAAAAGTATTTGCCCACTCCAGGTCTGCCAAAGGCTTAACATCCTGGATCTACAAGGAACTCAAACGTGCTGAAAAGAAAAAAACAAATTATAAAATGGGCAAAAGATATGAACAGACACTTCACAAAGGAAGACATCCAAGCAGCCAACAAACACACGAAGAAATGTTCAACCTCACTAATCATCAGGGAGATGCAAATCAAAACCACACTGAGATACCACCTAACCCCAGTCAGCATGGCAATTACCAACAACTCAAAAAATAATAACTGCTGGAGAGGGTGTGGTGAAAAGGGAACACTTCTACACTGTTGGTGGGAGTGTAAACTAGTGCAACCTCTGTGAAAAGCAGTGTGGAGATTCTTAAAAGCTCTAAATACCAACCTCCCATATGACCCTGCATCCCCCTACTGGGAATATATCCTGAAGAACACAAATCACTCTATAAAAAAGATACCTGCACACGCATGTTTATCGCAGCATTGTTCACAATAGCAAGAACCTGGAAACAGCCATGCTGCCCGTCAAAAGAGGACTGGATTAAAAAAATGTGGTACATATACATGATGGAATACTACACAGACATAAAAAAGAACAAAATCATGAATTTCGCAGCAACCTGGATGGAACTAGAGTCTATAATGCTGAGTGACCTCTCACAGAAACAAAGATCCGAGTATCACATGTTCTCACTCATATAATGGACCTTAAACATTCAATGCAATACTATACAAAAATGACTGACCGTACTGGGGAACTATGGTGGGGGGAGGGAGATGGGATTAACAGTAGCAAATATCTGTCTGGGAACGGGGAAATACCTGATATCAACAGGGTATCTGAATGAAACGCAATTGTATACCTAACCCTTAACTGTACCCCACAACTTCACAATAAAAAATAAATAAATAAATAAATAAATATTAGTCTGTCCTCTCCCTAGCCATTTGTCTAAATTAGAAGATTAAATACAGCTTCCAGGTGCCCTGGGAAACTGAGTCCATAGGAACTAGGGATAGATGTGTGTGGACCGAGAATAGGGTGATATTCTAGGGGGCTGCACCAAGGCCAGTACAGATCTGCAAGGAAATGATAAATGACGTTAGACGAGACAGAAATTCTCCCAAGTGAAGACCTCACAGAGCAGAAGGGCCACTCGTTTCTTGTTGCTTTGTCTTGTTTACTTTGAATTTTAGACTTGTGGGATACAAGTTAGGGTTTGTTTTGTTACAAAAGTAGGCTGCACGCATGTGAACTTTGGGCTTCTAGCTGGCCTTCTCTCCTCTTGGTAGTGGACCAGGTACCCTTTGTGTTGCCATGTGCCCACCTTCCTCCTCCTCCCTCCCTCCCCTAGTAGTGTTCAGCATCTGCTGATTCCTACTTTGTGCTAATATGACTAGTCTTAATGGCCCACCTATGAGTGAGAGCATACGGTATTCAGTTCTTTGTTTCTGTGATAGTTCACTTAGTTTGGTGGTCTCCAGCTGCATTCAAGTATATATAGCATTCCATTGTGTATCTGTAGTACATTTTATTTATCCAGTCTACTTTTGATGGACATCAAAAAGTTCCTTGACTAACATTTAGTTATATTTCAGGCTCATAGGAGAAAAGACTGGAAATGTTGCCAGAGGAATAAACATTGCCATTGTCAACTGTAAGTTATTAAATGTTTTCCTTAAAACTTCTCTAAAAGCCCTGTGATTGGATTTTCAAAGATACTTTGGATTTTTAAGATTTTTGTGTACGATCTAGTCTAGGTTTATAGTTTAATGCATTTCTAAATCATATATTCAATTATTTTTACAAGTTTTACTTTTCAGATTATTTATGACTCCAACAACAAAACAACTGAAAACCAAATATAAATACACTTTATAGAAAAAGGAAGAAGGCAGAAGGCAGAGTTAAGACTAGTTGAGTAGGCCTAGGGGACTGAGCCCATGGTGCTACCTTGAGCCTCACATTTGCCCTAAAATCCTGGTGGCTGAAAAGAGAGTGACACCACAGGCCAATTCATGATTCTAAGTGATAAAAACGATCAGAGCCTCAGGGGAAACAAAGTGTAGCCTTCCTGGGAAAAAACCTTCTGTCATGATTACCACTGAGGGCCACAGACAATAAGAACCATAGCAACTTTAAGAAAAGCGTTTCACGCAGCATCCCTGTGAGTGAGCAGATGCCATAGTCCAGTCTGGTGTATCTGTGTGATGAGGTGGATGGGCCTCGGATGAGAGGGGGCTCTGCTGTGTCTATGAAAGAGGTGGGTGGGCCTGTACTGAGACCAGGAACTTTGATGGTTCTGTGGGATGAGGCAAGTGGGCCTGGGCTGAGGGGGAGCTCTGGTGTTTCTGTGGGATGAGGTAGATGGGCCAGGGCTGAGAGGTGAGCTCTAGTGTTCTGTGGGATGAGGTGGGTGGGCCTGGGCTGAGAGGGGAGCTCTGGGGTATCTATAAGATGAGGTGGTGGGCCTGGGCTAAGCTGAAGGGGGAGCTCTAGTGTGTCTGCCTGATGAGGTAGATGGGCCTGGGCTGAGGGTGGAGCTCTGGTGTGTCTGTGGGATGAAGTGGGTGAGCCTGGGTTGGGGGGGGCTTTCTCTTGTGTTTCTTTCAGGGGAGGTAAGAGCTTTAGACCAATTGTAACCCAAAGCAGCCTGGAAGAAAGTTCTAGAGCAGCTTCCAGCCACCGTCCTCCTTACCGGTGGTGGTGACACTCCTCAGGTCGTGACACCCTATCTCTGCCAGCTGGGTCATCTATGGTGTTTCCTGGAGAGAGACACGGAATAAATATGCCATACCCTGGGCTGTTGTGCCACAGATGTGCCCTGGGTTCCTTGAGCTGTCTTTTTGAAATGCTTCTTTTATTTTCAGATGTAACTGGGAATGTGACAGCAACCCAATATTTTGACATGTATGAAGGTGGTAAGAAAATTGTTCCTGTTAACATTCAGATTAATTTTAAACATAAAATTAAGATTAAAAAAACCACAAAAATGTCAACCATATTTATTTTGTCTACTAAAAAAAAAAAAATGCCCACAGCTCTCCTCAGTGTTCTAGAATGGCCTTCTATAATCCTGCTAGGCAGTAATTGAATTCATATAATAAAGTTAGAAGGCATTATCTAGAAGAGTCTTTTCTTCTATTTTACTTTTCCTCCGTAGTTCTCGTTTGTGCTTTCATGGGATAATAAGAAAGAATAAAAGCCTTTTCTTAGGAAAAAAAAGAAAAGAAAGAAAGTTTATGTAAAATAATGTATCCAGCATCTAGCCTCTACTGCCATCAGCACTTAAAAACTGTCATAATTACTTCTGATGGCTCACGGTGCCCTCTTGGGCCTAGAGCAAGCTTTCCTGGAACCCATATGTGCCATCTCCTTGGTCTCTCCTTGCTGGGCATTGAATCTTGACTGCAATTTTTCACCAGAATATACCAGCTTCTCCTGTTTTTGCGTTGACGTTCCACTCTGTCACCCAAGTTGAAGTGCAGTGGCATGCTCACAGCTCACTGCAGCCTCAGCCTTCCCAGTAGCTGGGACTACAGGCATGCACCACCATGCCCAGCTAATTTTTTTGATGTTTTCTAAAGACATGGTCTTGCTGTGTTGCCCAGGCAGGTCTTGAACTCCTGGGTCCAAGTAATCTTTCCACCTCAGCCTCCCAGAGTGCTGGTGGCATGAGCTGCCATGCTGGCCAAGCTTCTCCTATTTTTTTTTAACACTAAGAGGCTTGAAAGCAAGTCTTTGTTAGGATGATGGGGAAGAGGAATAGAAAATGCCTCCGTCTCCCATGAGAACTATGCAGTTGTGCTCTGCAGTTATCCTAAGCAGACCTGTTAATAATGCCAGGTCTGAGTAGCAGGGTTTGAGATTTACTATCTTCTTCCTATAAGGCACTGATAAGTCTCTTAGCACACACTTGACCATGTCTGGCGTGGTCTGTGTTTCTCGTATTGAAGTTCTGTGGGCATCTCTGTCCCACACATGTCAGAGTATTCTAGGATGGTCACGGCTTGGGCCTGGCTTTTTATCGTGACTGCAGGGAATGTTGCTGTGCTGCAGGGTGAGAGTCTGGCTAATGGAATCTCTGCTATCTGATTCTTACTTCCAGGAGCTCCTGATGCCTCATTTATTGATCAGGAAAGCTCCTTATCTTGACGGCTTCTCACTGTAACCCTGAACACCTGTTGCACGTGTCCTGCTAGTCCTCTTCCTTCTGTGCCGTGCCACTCCCATCAGATGGTCCCCACAGAGCCCCAGCATGCATTTTTCCCATAGTCACCTAGTGTACCATCTGCTGGACTTAGTAAGCCGCACTGGAGGCCCAGGATTCAGAGAGAATGCAGCAGTGAGCAAGAAGGAGGTCAGGCATCTGGGGCAGAGCCTCCGCTAACAGGATGAATCCTAAAACTGACTTGCATTGACCCGACAGATAACTCTGGACCCATGACAAAATTCATTCAGAGTGCTCCTCCAAAATCCCTGCTCTTTATGGTGACCCATGACGACGGCAGCAGCAGGTGAGTGCCTGTAGGTTTGTCACAGTGCTGGGCAGGAGAAGGATGCAGGACAGGGAGTGCCAAGGTCCCTCAGTAACATTCTCTGGGCAGAGAGTCCAGGAAAGCAAGGTGCTTTTTAAAGGAAAAAGAATGAAAGATCATGACAAACAGATTGCATTTCTAAAAAAAAAAAAAAAAAATCACGAGTGACTCACATAAGTATTGGAACCGAGGAATATTTCCCAGGAGCAAGACCAAGTCACAGATGACCATAATTAGGGTAGAATAGCTAGCCTCCAGTCAGAAAGGCTCAACCCAGGATGGTACCTACAGAAATATGGAAGGAAATTGAGATAATGTCTTTATGAGAGGAGGTAGAGAAGGATTGACAAACACACACAACTGAGACTTGACTAGAAGTGGACTTAGCGCAGTGCCTGCTAAGTAAATGTGTGTCTTTGCTGTCAAACTTCTAAGAACTTTCAAGGTGCTTATTTGCATTGTGAATTTTCCAAATGTGGTTACTGACCACAACATTCCCAAATTTATCTGACCTCAGATTCCTTTTTCATGGAGCATCTTATCAAATTGAAATCCCTTGGGACACACTTTGAGAAACTTTGAGTTAACTCATTTTAGAAAATCTAAAATTGTTTTTTTCTCTTCCTATCTGCCCTTCTTTCTTTGCTTACCCTAAATTGCACTGTTTGCATTGGTAGTATTGTTTTACATTTCCTTTTCTTTTTTGATGCTGACTTTTCTGAATATGAAAAGGGACAGTTTTGGCATTTGTTTTCATCTTCTATTCACCTTATTTTGTGATCTGTAAACAAGAGGTGCAACAAGGTTTGAAAATTATGTTGGCTAAGAGTGAGGATGTGACTGAACCCCAAAACACTGGAGCTTTTCAGAATTGAGTTAAAATTCTGTGCCCCAAATTGAGGTCCAAGGGGCTCTGGATATTATATGGTTAACTAGAAATTTGATATCCTCAACCAGCACGTGTCTTTTGGTTGCCTCTGTGTCTAGAAAGAGGTGTGTTGGTGTAGAAACCTCTGTCCAAGAACACACAGCATAACACACCCAGCACAGAGCTTCCCTGACCTCAGAATCTCCATGGTGCTCACACACTTTCTCCTTTGCCCCGTAGACTGAAGGACGATGCCAAGAACGCCATAGAAACACTTGGAAGTAAAGAAATCAGGAACATGCAGTTCAGGTCAAGCTGGGTATTTCTTGCAGCAAAAGGGTTTGAACTGCCTTCTGGAATTGAGAGAGAAAAGGTGAGTGGTTTTAAAATGTCTTTTCCCACCACCAGTGAGTATAGTACATGCAGTGATGTGAAAAGGTTGCCAGTCGGTTACAACTTCCTGTCTCCAAACGTAAGACATTTGTCAACCTTTCCCATTGACTAGCATTAGATCTTGATGGAAGTTTCTAACTTTTCCAATCTCTTTAAAAGTAGAACATTCTGAATGGGCCATTGTTATTGGTTTTCCATCAGGCTGCAGTCAACATGACCTATCTCAAGACTCTCTTTCCTTGGGCAGATGTTCATCTCCCCAAGTCCCTGAAGGTCAATGCCAAGAACACCATAGAAGCTCTTAGAAATAAAGAAATCAGAAACTTGCAGTTCAGGTTGAGCTGGGGACAGTGGAGTGCTTGTCTCTTAGGGTGGCTAGGTTATTTAACTGAGATGGTGCCTGCGAAGTACTCATAAGGGTGAGCACCACACAAATACTCCACAAATGTCACTTTCAGTGTTGTCATTGTTTTGGTAGTAACTTGTTGCATGACTGATTCTAAGTCACTCCCTGTGGGCCTTATTTATCAAAGAAAAGTAAAGCACAATGGAATGAACATTATAACTTAACCTAGACTGCCTTAAACTTACACAGGACACTTGAATTGGCCTACAGTTGGGCAACTTATCTAACACAGCCTATCTTACAATAAAGTGTTGAATATTTATCTCATGTACATTACTGAATACTGTACTGAAACTGACAAACAGAAAGGCTACAGTTTCTGCTGAATGCATATCACTTTCATACAATTATTCAGCATTGAAAGTCTCGGGGGTTGATTGTACTCACCAGCCAAGTGCAACTACTAGGTTGAACAGCATATATTATAGAATATTTTCATCACTACAGAAAGTTCTAGAGCTGTATGGACACCTGGTTCAAATATTATTAAGAAACAGCACAGTATACACACATACAGTTAGAAGAAGTAAGACCTAGTGTATGATAGATCAGCAGCGTTACCACAGTTAACAATAATCTACTGTACATTTCAAAGTTGCGAGAAGAGAATAATTTAAATGTTCCCATCATAAAGAAAAGATGAATATCTAAGGTGATGGATATTGCAATTACCCTAATTGAATCTTTACACATAATGTAAACATACCAAACTATCACATATACCCCCAAAATATGTACATCTATTATGTAGAAGTGCAATGAAAGGAAGGCAAACACCCAGCTTAGGCTGGCCAAATTCAGTTCTTGGAAGTGATTCTGTTTATATGACTTTGCTTACAGCTGACACTGATGAAATATTTGTTGATTAGATTAATGAATAAATAAAGCTATTTTCTTTGTACAGATCAATCACTCTGATAATAAGAAGAACAGATATTCTGGCTGGCCTGCAGAGATCCAGATAGAAGGCTGCATACCCAAAGAACCAAGCTAGCTCGGCACAGTACTTAATAAATGTGTTTGTGTAAAAAAATGCAATGGGATGGCAAGAATCTTATACCTTTAAATCCTACAGTCAATATTTGATGCATAGTTGGGGTTTGTTGCAAACCAATGAATATTTGCTAGCTGTATCAAATCTTGGTATACAGTATTTTTATACCAATATTTACATATTGAAGATATCAATAAGCAGGAAAGCCAAGTGAATGGAAATTCTTACTTTAATCTTGGAAGGAGGGTTGGGGAGGCAGCTATTATGATCAGCTCTAAGTGTGATCCTTATGCAGTTCACAGTTCTGCAGAGAGAAAACCTTTATTCTGTTATCTCTAGGCACACCCTGGTTTCTGTCAGTGGTCTTCTGCTGGGAGAATGAGCAGCAGTCTAGAGGGCTTACCCAGCTTTCTTGGTTGACTCAAGTTGAGCTCTTGAATCTTTCCTGTGAGTCTGAATTTATTCATTCCACAAATCTGGGTGCCTCCTGCCTCCTGGCACCAAGAGTGCAGAGTGAACCAGACACAGTCCCTGTCTCCATGCCAGGGTACTGAATGGGGTTAGGGGAGGGGCTGCTTTTAGGAGGGGACTTGAAGGTCTCAGACTCTTCAGGGGCACATCATTAGACCCAAGAATCCAAGACACCCCTCATGCAGTGAATCAGTATTGTCATATGATGGGTGTGATTTAGGGCTAAGAAAATAAAGTCACTGGAGCAGAATCACTACCAAGAGTCTATTCTAACCTCTTTCCTGGGTGTAGTCACCAGAAAAGTTTTGAGGCATTGAAGCCAGGCAACTGTTACTTCTCTGAGCTTCCGGTATCTCATCTGTAAGATAGAGAAATTAGGATAGATTAATGCTTTTCAAACATTTTTATCAGCAGGCTCCTTTTAAAAACATGGTGGCACATGACATCCTGAATTTCATCATTCTTACATAACTTCCCAAAATCTCAGTGGATTGCAACTGTGTAGATTTGTTGTTCGTTTAATGTGGGTCGCAGGCCAGCTGCGGCTCAGCCCCAGTTGCAAAAAGCTAGGCTGAAGGGGTGTCCCCTGTCAAGAACAGAAGCCAAAGAGAGCAGAAATCCAGGTGCCCGCTCCTCCCACAGGCTCCTGCCAGGATGTATCAGTCTCACCGGGCTGTGTCCCAGGGCCCCAAACATATCAGGCACCAGGTCAGCCCAGGCATGGGAATGTCAACCCTTCCCTCAGGAGCATGACAAACCATGTGGCAGTGGGCAGCATGACAGCCCTCCTCTAGGGAAGGGGGTGATTATTGTGAGTGGAAACACAATGACCCAGTGACTGCTGAAAGCCACAAAGTACCTTGCCCCAGGGAGGAACACTGCCCAGTCTGCTGACCCCTACTCTGGGCAGAGGCCCCTAGGAGCCTATGTGTCTCCAAGGGACTCTACAAACCACTGAAGGGGATCATGACTCAGATCCTGGTGGGGACTAAATCATATCTCCCAAAATTCTTGTGTTGAAGTCCTAACCCCCAGTATCTCAGAATGTGACCTAATTTGGAAGTAGGATCATTGCAGATGTAATAAATTAAGGTGAGATTATACTGGAGTACAGTGGCCCCTAGCCCAATACAGCTGGTGTCCTTAAAAAAGGAGAAATTGGTACACAGTTACTCACACAAGGAACACCATGTGAAGAAGAAGGCAGAGATTGGAGTGATGCATCTACAAGCCAAGGAACACCAAAAGTTGCCAGCAACCACCAGATGCTAGAAAGAGACCTGGAACAAACTTTCCCACTACAGACTTCAGAGGGAGCCAGCTCTGCTGACACCTTGATCTTGGTCTTCTGGCTTCAGAGCTATAAGAGCATAAATTTCTGTTGTTTCAACTACCCATTTTGTGGCACTTTGTTATGGCAGCCCTGGTAAACTAATGTAGGCCCCGTTAAGGTCTAAGCTCTGAGGTACACATAGAAAATTTTATATTAGAAAAAGGAGAGAAAGAGCACACTTTTACTCTGGCTGAAATTACTATATGAGGGGGGACCCCCAAAAACCAGAAGTGTTTTTTGGAGGGTAAGCCCCTTGTAGTACAGGCTTCCTCCACTAGGTAAGTGTTCTAGGAACACCTCGGTATCAGTGTACTAGCTAGTGTTGTGAGAGACTGCGTTCAGCGTCAGTGAATTTTTCTTGGAGATTCTTTCAACACTCTTGATCATTTTCTGATGGGTAATTTATGAGCACACCTGTCCACACTACCCTTGAGTGTTCAACAGGTTTTGACCAAAAGTAGCATGACCCACCCCTATATCCCACCTCCCTATTCAGCTGATCTCACCCTGAGCTATTTTGTTATTGTTTCCCGGGATGAAAAAAGATCTCAGAGGGAAGCATTTTGCCAATTTGGAAGAGATGAAACAAAAAACAGAAGCACTGAAGGACACCCAAATCGAAAAGTCCAAAAACTATTTTGAGCAGGGGAAAAAGTATCTCAACCGGTGAATTGCATCAAATGGAGAGTGACATTTGAAGGTGACAAGTTTAAACGTGTAAGAATAAATACACAATTTTAAATAAATTCTGGGGTTTTTGGGGAATTCCCCTCATATTTTTAAAGCATCACTGACCTTAATTTATTGACATTATCAGAGGAAGGTCTCAGGGACACTCAGGGGAGGCAGAGTCCTGGGATAGGGCTTTGGGATGCAAAGTTCTTGTGTCCAGGGCTCCTGCCGTCCAGTGATAGTCTCTTTGCCCTCTGCTGCCCCCTGCAGCTCACTACTGTGTCCTGCATGTAGGACACAGGACGGGATTGTTCTAGTTCCGTCATTTTGATGTGTTTCCCTACTGCATGGTCTTTAGTGTGGGGATTGTGATTCCATTCCCGACAGCTCAGGGCACTGCCAGCTCTAGACCTGTCCTTCAGGTAGACACTGTGCATGAGGCCTGGCCACATTGGATGCTTCCTCAGCATATTCCCTGGGCCCAACATCACTAATGTGAACCCTGCCAGTCACCCCTCACACAGGTCCTGTGATGGAACTCACTCAAGGGAGGCACAGAGAGGCCGAGACCAAAAAGCCAGGTCACACAGACAGGAAGGGAGGATGGGGCTCCACCCCAAAGCGCACCCTCTGCTCCTGCGCTCTGCTGGGCAGATCCATCTGGTAAGAACGTCCCTTGTCCACAGGATACCACAACTTCATCCATGTCAATAATCCAGGAAAACATTTGCATGATCTCTGTGTCTATGATAACAAAAGCAAACTCAGAATGAAAGGTTGTGAGAGGGTAAACATGCACTGGCTCCAGAGGGTTCCAGAAGGCTCCAGGCGGCTCCAGGGGCCTCCCGGTGACCAGGGTTTTCGTTCATACACAGAGGTGCCAGCCCTTTCCGTGGAGAGTCTGGGACAGGGCACGAGACGGGTGTCCATACTTTGGAATCTTGCATCTTGATCAAGCTGAACACTGTGGAGTTCCCTCGTGTGGAGCAGAGAGCCCTGCCCAGTGACTGTGACACAGAGGCCAGAGAAACAGCAGCTGTTTTCTCTCAGAGAACCAGCCCCTGTGCTTGGATGCTGTTTAGGATGTTTCATTCTCCCAGGGACTTAGTGCTCAGCCTGTCACCATCAACCCTATGGCAAGAATCCAGTCCTTCAGGTCTGCAGGTGCAGACACCCCCGGTCCTTCCTGGGGTTGATGGTGAGGACCGGCTGGAGGGGATGCTGCTTGGATGGGGGACGGAAGGGCCTCTGAGCTGGCCCGAGCTGTTGGTGTCACTCTGTCTGGCTTCTCTGGTGCCTTCGCTTTGCCTTTCTTGAAGCTGCAGTCACACCCTGAGCCTGGTAAGAAATACAATCCCAGTGGAACCAAACACTATCACGCTGCCAAGTCTGGTCTCTGACTCTTAACTCCTCAACCTGTGCCCGGGGCTCTCTGGGGTGAGGTGGTTCAGGGACAGATAATTCTGAAGATGATCTTCAGGTAATCTCTAATGCTGTGGTTTCGAAAAACATTTTTAAGCTTCCAACTTATTTCTTTAAAGTTTAACTTGACTGGGTGTGGTAGCTCACACCTGTAATCCCAGCACTTTGGAAGGCCGAGGTGAGAAGACTGCCTGAACCCAGGGGTACCAGGGGTACGAGACCAGCCTGGGCAACGTGGCGAGACTTCATCTCTACAATAAATCAAAAAACCTAACTGGGTGTGGCAGCGCACACCTGTAATCCCAACTATTTGGGAGGCTGAGGTGGGAGAATCTCCTGAGTCCAGGAGGTCAAGGCTGCAAGAGCTGTGATTTTCACTGCACTCCAGCCTGGGTGACAGAGTGAGACGCCCAACTCAAAGTAAACAAATACATTAAATAAATAAATAAATATCACTTTAAAGTTAAACTTGCCGTCAAGGAAGCTCAGTAAAATGAACTAGCAAAAAGTTACTCAGGTTGTTTTTTAAAAAATGTATAATGTTAATTTTTGCTTTGGAGAGGATTGTGAGTGTGTAAAGGAGGGCTGAGAGCCTGCTTCCTCCCTGCCAGGCTCCCAGTCCTGGGGTGTTCAGTCCCCTCCCCAGGATCCAGAGGCCTTAGGTTTTCATACCTCTTGACTCTGGTGATGGGGATGTTGGGCCCTCCTAAACTGTGGTCACAGGGTAAGATGCCTTAGGGACCACTTGGCTGTGACCTTCACTTTTACAATTGAAGTCACTGAGATCCAGAAAGATGGCATGGTTGTCATAGAGATCATGGCTGACTCAGAGCTTATCTCCTATGGGAAGATAAGCCTCCCATGGATGTGAGGTAGGAATCTCAGGCTCAAGTGCTTGTGGAAAGCTATCAACACTCCTTCTTTGCATGTTCAGCACCTAACGAGGGGAGAGGTGGTGTCTGTCAGGCAGGGAGCTAATCAGGACAGATCAGAACTTTCAGATCATGTACCTGAGCATGTATCTCCGGGGCCGTGTGCATCTGTGAGGTCCAATACAGCCGGTGTGAGTTCAAATTACACAGAATCCAGAATCTAGTTCCTCAGTCACAATAACCACATTTCAGATGTTCAGTGTCCACATGGACCATTCTGGACAGCACTGTTGTGGCAGAGGTCTCCAGTGACCACACTGCTCCGAGCCATTGGCTCACATGCATGGCCCCCACACCAACCTCTCCTAGACACTTGCCCTCAAGGAACATGTGCTGATTCTTGGGCCCTGCTCGCACCTGCTGGATCAGACTCTCTGGGGTAGCCCGCCACTCTTC